ATTAAGCGTCTTAAAAAAGATAAAGGCAGTATATTATAAGATGTGTAATGTTATATAATCGTTATTATAAAGAAAACGTTTTATTTTAACGTGACGCTCGTAGCGTGACCATTTCAGGGTTAATTTCAAGTTTTATGCCGTGTGCGATTTATATTGTTGGATTTTCTTTCTATTCTAACGTAATGAGAGAAGCGATAGGTAAGATAACAAGGCGCGAGCTGTCTTACGGGAACTTTATCTGATTTTATATGAAGTGTTTAAGATAATTGAATTTCTGAGGAACTAATTGCTGCCATGTACGATAATTACATTTTATATATCGCGTAATTATGTGTGCAGTGAAGAAAAGAAAAACATTAAATATTTCGCAATCAAATTCGAAATAGAAAGACTTAACATCACGAAGAAAATGTCTTTTATAAATAATCGGCATAATAGTGATATTACGCAGTATTTTTCAAAAGTTGATATTGATTAAAAAAGAAGTCGGTGTTCGCAGAAAGCTTTTTTTCCTTTCGAAATGTTGGTTGTATTTTTACGATATTGACAGCGAAAGCGCCCGTAAGTAGTACAATGTCGCCAATCGATACGCATCAGCGAAAGTTTTATTATAAATTGTAAATTTTATTCGCGTTAAATAATAATCAATCTATCTATCTCTCGTTTATATATATTTGACGCCAGGCGATTCCTCCCCCCTTGGTGAACGAGTTTTATTTTCATGCCGACACTAAATGTCAAATGAAAATTTCGACGTAAAAGTTTGTTTCGAAATAAAACATTATGGCTGACGTGGAGAGCTCGCGATGAACATGCTTGCCGATTTCGAGACGAGCTTGCTTGCTCCGCTGTCAAACGTCATCGACAGTCTCGGTCTTTTCCTCCGCGATATCTTGATGATACTCAAGGTCGTCATTTGTTGCCGAGTGGTTACAGAAATATACATATTTAATTATTGTCGGTCTTGATAAAAATAACATTTACGCTAAGTGTTATTCGCGTACAGTAAATGTTTTATATCTCGGAGAAGTGCGATGACGAGTCTGGCAATACCAAAGACGGATTTTATTTTCTCTTGAAATCTTTTCAGCGAAATCTCTCTCGCATTACGCCTCTCTCGCGAGAGATTAATAGGCGGGTAGGACGCCTCCGATATTTCTTCGCGCGCGATACGTTATACAATTTTGAAATTGATTTCAACGCCAGCTATGCGCCATGCAACAGAGAGATAGAGCCGCAGAGTGCATTAGTGGAAAAGAGAGGAGTGAAAAAATGTGTGTGAGAGAGAAAGAGGAAGACATAGAGACGGCGGGCCAATGTTGTGCGGGTTATTGGTGTTTACCTCGTCGGTTCGCGAAATTCGCCGACGGCGGCACCTCAATCACTCGGCAATTTTCGGAGTTCTCCCGGTGATCCGATGTATTCTGCCGATTTATATTTTTTCACCCGAAAGATAATCGTCAGTATTATTCGTCCGCGTCTTGTCTGTCCTCCTTTTCTTCCCCCCATTCTTCTCTCACTCCTCTGCGCTTTTTTCGCAATTTATATCGAGATGCTTAAACGCTTGCCTTGACCTATCTACTTATAAATGGCGGTCGTTTATCAGGCTTTACTAAATTTCCCTCGGTTTCTCGGGCCGGTTGCTGCGCGAAATCGAAACGGGCTCTTTGTACGTGCGCGTGTTGTTTACGCAAAAACGTCATTTCCATACGTCGGAATTTTCGCATCTCGCATTAATCCCCCATGACAAGACAAATTCCGTATATTAACCCTAGGATGCATTATTCAATTTTTGCCTGACGCGAACGTGTTGGCGTAACATAATTCAGCATTTAAGGAGCCGTATGACTTTTCATGTGACATTTATAGTTTATTTCACGGTGGTATAACATAGATATTTGATGCGCTCGAAGAAATTAACTAAATTGAATTTATCTAACAAGAGATGAGAAAGCGAAATGGAGAAATAATTTACTGTAGAAGGACTATATTAACGCCAGTTCTCGCTATCTTGAAATCCGCTCGTCCTTTTCTCGCGCTGCTTCCGGAAATATCTTTTCCACGTCAAGCCGGGTCCCATCGCCCGGTAACGTCTCGGTGACAGTCCGACATCGTCGCGACGTCGGGCTGTAACTTTCTTCGTCGTTTCGGTCACAAATTAGCGCTGGACTGTCTGCAAATAGCGATTGTATTGTATATATGGCGTGCATGTTCTCGAACCCGCTTTGTCTGTCACGAGTCTTCTCGACGACGTTGACGAGGACGACGACGACGACGACGATGAGCTCCATCGTCGGTAGACGTTTGCAAGTCTCTTCCATGATGCGTCTTGAGAGACACAACTTCACCCCGCTCTTTCTACTACCCTTTAAGATATTCCGCTTGGTCGTCGAGTGATATCTTCATACCGTCGTGACGGTGAATTATTGTTCATGGTCTTTTTCAGTCCTCGCTACGGAGGGATTCGCATTCTAGACGCGACATGTCCGCTACCAAATCCTTTTACGTCGTTTTTCGCGAATAAATGGAACTTGCGTTATATGAATAAGGAAATTGCAAAGTGAAAATATTCATGATGGTCGGAAAAATTTAATAATAATTTATCGCGCGTTGATATAAGATTGTAAAAATATATTTCTAAAAAGTATTTGCCACAAATAATGCTCGCTATCTAATTATTATTACATTGCAAAAGGTGAATAATACTGAAATTTTTTTTTAGAATAATACTTGTAATCTTCTACAATTACCACAATGTTTTCAACTCGAGAAAAACCAATGTTTCGTATAAAAATTATCCATATAACAAGCAAAATGTCTAAAAGATGCACCTGTAAATATTCGAGAAACGACGATGAAGGTATCATACACATTAATTCAATACACTACTCCGGTTCTTCGCGGCATTATATCGCCTCCTTTTAACCATAAAAGAGCATTGCGATCGAATTCGACAAGATCGAATTTTAACCGACATCATACACTCGCATTCTGATCCGAGGCGACTTTAATGCGCGTATCGGATTAATGCAAACGCGATAAGCGGGCGCATTCGATTCGCGTCACGTAATTTTCGCAATTCCACCGCGATCTTGACGTGTACGAGTGTAAATCAAATTAATCGAGCACTTGGCATTAAATACTTGCTCCCGATATTTCCGTAGCGTTGTATTGGCAATATAACAGTTGTAATCTCATCCTTCGAGATTCTTTATATCGGCTCTTTTTCTCCTCCCTCGCAAGTAGATTGAATTCATTGCGAGTTGATAACTCCCTTCTGTCGCTTTCTCTCGTACGACGGAGGAATTGCGCGAATTAAATTAAACGAAACACAGAGAGATCGCACGCAGATGGTTTACGATATTTTTGCAATGTCACTCGGGCAGAATTACATTTTTCCGGATTTGTGCATGGAACGTTCCCTCCTTCCTCCGGTCGGAAACCGCGAATTCCCGCCACTACTTGTTTTCGCGACGGAATTACGCGGTATTCCGAGCCCGACGCTAAAATTAAGCAATTAACGATAATAATCGGCTTGCTTTCGTTCCCGCGCAGACCCTGCCGTAACACAAACCGCGGGCTTGGACGACTCCGGGAAAAAAATCATTGCTTCCATTCTCGATTGACCGACCGATCGCGATCGATCGGGCGGGTCTCTCTCTCTTTCTCTCTCCAGGCTTTCATTCGTCAAGCACCCTGTCGATACGCCGCGCTCTCGAATTTGTCCGGCAATTAGCGCACTTTTGCTCGTCATCCATCAGCTTTGCATCGGCGCGAGAACTTTATTGCTAGGAATCACGAGGTCTTGCCCTTTTTTTGCGGTATTCTGGTAGATCGACGTTGCTAGAGGCGTACTTGAATACGCGGTTATTTATTACCGGTCGTACGCGATGGTATGTAATTAATTGTCTCTCCCGCGGCGATTAAATCTTACATTTTTCTCCGACAGCGATGGCAAAGAAAAAGTTGACTATATATCCATAAAATTCAGCTGGGTCTTTACGCTTTTTTTTTAAATATTAATATTAAATTAATTTTTTTGTGACAATAAAATACATTTTTATTAATTATAATATCTTGGACATAAATTATTTTTAAAAATATGTATTTAAATTATAAAATAAATTTGCAAAAGCTTTTTCGAGAAGACAAGAATCAAAATCCACTATTTAATTAAAGAGAATTGAAATTGTCTTTTTGAAAGTATATGGTTGTTATCAACTCATATGACGATTGTTTCATATTATATCATTGGCTTCGAGGCTTACAATTAGCTGATGATGTAAGCATAAAGATTTTTATTTTCTAAATCTAATTGCCCTCCGTGGCCGCAAAACAAACCGCAATGACACTATATGTCTCGCGTCTTTGATTTTAAAATACAGTGTCCTTAGAAACAACCAGCTGATACTCGTCCCACGAACATGAAGTCGAAACTATGCTTGTTACAAGTTTGCTTAAAAAAAGACGTGACATTCTACCAATGTCTCGTGTCACCTTTTGAACGTTCTTCACGTGTTCTTTCCGAGTCTTTGCGTCAATCGTTATAAACGCGCGATTCTAAATTTATGAGCCAACGCCAGAATAGACAGCGCCTATATTTAAGCTCCTGTAACCCAAATTACTTTATGAAAAATTATATATGGCAGAACATTAATAAATATTGAAAATGCGATAAAAGTTGAAGATTAATTAATTACATTTTTGTAAACACTTATTGTAAAAAATACTGTCATTAGTATTAGCTGCAAATTACAATGAACAATTCTCGAAGATTAGAATACATCATGAAATTTATATTACACTAGTGCATATAAAAGAATATTCTTCAATTTTTATTAATCTATAGCATGTGTGTGTGTGTGCATATGAGAAGAAAAACAGAGCCGAATATTTAATATTGAAAAAAATCGCATCTCTTAAATAAAAAGTAAACATGCATCAATATGTATTTTAATTTATATGCGTATTTTAATTTCGCAATTTTTTTGTGATTGCAGTACGACGATGGCGGGCTGCACGGGGGTTACCTCGAGGGCGGTGGTGGCGGTGGAGGTGCAGGGCTGTACGATCCACACGGTAATGCCCGCGGCGTTCCCGGTCTCCATCACAGTCCACACCTCGGTAGCATGGGACCGGCTCACCCCCAGTATCCACCGCCTCAGCCGCCGCAGCACGTTCTCGCGGCGGCGGCCGCGGCCGCGGCTTCCGCGGTGCCCGATGTCCACAAACGCGACAAGGACGCCATATACGGGTAAGTGGTATTTTCTCTCTATTTCTCTCTTGTGTATATATATGTATATATTTATATTCCTGCCGGAAGCACCGACGATCGGGTGAAACGAGTCTATCGAGCGCGATAACGAGCGACGGTTGCATGCGCGTTACGTGGCTTCTAAATGCGGCTTATCGAGAAATTATGCGCACTTTCGGCCACCGTTATACGACGATTCTCTAATTTGTGCGACATAACTTTGCGCAAGCTCGAGTATAAATGTGCGCGCACGATTACGTCCACAATCGCGGTAATCGTCAATGATTATACTTATCATAATCTGTTCCACCGCGCGTATATCCACCTACCTACCTACATACCTATCTCACGTTCAAGAGATTTGCATAAAAGTACACGCCGATAAATGTCCTATTTTACAAGCGAGATGTTTTGGAAAACAGGTGCGAGAGCGAGCGCAGGACGAGCTTGAAATGCACATAAATTCGTGGCTATTTGATTTTCTGAATTCGCTTACTCGACCTGCCTTAACAATTTCACTGTGACGGACAAGTCACACGTTTCTATCTTTTCCCGCGCTTTCGAAAGGAAAGCGACTTTTTCTCTTTTTGATTAGTAGTATAGTTGCATATTTTAAATCGATGCTACATCAGTAATTATAAAAATTAAATATTTTAATTATATTTCAAAATTATTTTTGTCAGCAGTTAATTATTACCATTTTGTTATATTTTATAGAGACATAGAAATTATGGAATATATATTTATGGAAATCATAAAATAATAATGATTCGTAAAAAAATAAGTGTTGTCAGATAAATTATTATTTTCAATAATTAATGACATTAATAATACACTTATATTATGTTAATTTTACTTAGAGAAATATTAGAGTAGTATTGAATATTTTGTAAAAAAAAAAAACAAAAAAAAAACAATTTATATCGAAGTTGTCTGTTAGCAAGGAAATGTCAATAATGTTTAAGCATCATGTAAAAAGTCTGGCTGTTAAATAATCGAAATATGAAATATTGAGGGGAATATATGGATGTGTATATAGTTTGCTAGTATCATTATAGGATTCTCAGTCTCGAATAATATTGACGTTACATTCCGAAGCGACGTGTCCAGTTTTCTGTATCACGCGCGATATCGTTTTTGCGATACATCGCAAAGTCGGACAGAATATCATTACCATATGGTTAACTCGACAGATAACCACGTTTCAACGAGCTGTCCCCCGGCTTAACGATACTTTCCGCTCCTCCGCGATGACAGTGAGCCACATTGCTTTACACGAGATTTTTCCTATTCTTTTTTTTATTGTACATGTTAATTTCTTGTCCTTTTAACACAATAATACATATGTAGACTTATTAAGAATGTGAATGCGAGATTATATACGAAGAGTACATAAAATGAATACAGATAATATATGCAACAAATTTTACGATCGCCAAGATACGTAGAGAGACAGCGTACTTCTCATTCTCTATACATCTTATTTTTTACATTTTGTTGTCAACATTCCTGCGTTGTTTCTCTTTGCATCATCGTAGTATAGTTCGTGCCACGCGAATCCATCGTCCGTACGAGCTGAAACACGTCAATTGGCCGTTTTACGAAGTTGGATCGGCGACCGTGTTCCGCGTGATTTATAGCCGCGAGATGCCCCGATTTCTGATGTACCGTCCTAGAACGGGAGCCTCATTATTCTCTGCACCCTGTAATTTGTCCATTCGTCGTGTGCCCGGGCCCGACCCGAGGTGAAGATTCCACAACTTTCTCGGAACGCTGCTGCCGTGGAAGGGTGCTCTTTCGGCGTTTTCTCGCTCTTAAGAATTCTGTTTTAATTGCATACGTTAGAATTGCATTCTTTTGAATTAATTTTAAATTATATTGAAGATTAACTCGAATCGCGTTTTGAATAAAATTGATGAAATATATATTGATTTTGTGTTTTTTTGAATAATTTTGTTTTAATACGAAATCAGAATCTTTAAGAATATCTATAGTCTTTAAATTTATGTATTTTTTTCTTATTTGAATATACTTAATTCTTACTTAATTCTAGAAGCATTCATGATCTTACGATCTCACGTGCGTGTTTCTTTGTTGCGTTAAAAAAAACTTAGATGCTGAGAGAGAATATTCTATACAAAGTATGTAATCCTGTTTCATAGAATACGTTTTTGGCGTGATTGAATTGAGTCGTTCGATAGCAGAATCCGTGACCATTTTTGTCCCGTGTTTCATCCAGCTCAATTAATTCGTCTGTTAAAGCTTTACACGTGCGAGGAGATTGATGTTGCTCGTGCTCGAATGTAATGAACCGCGGTAAAAAGAGAAAAAGTCAGGGACATCTTAAGACATTTCATTATGATGATTTTTCAAACAAGCTGCACGGAGATGTAAATACATCGAAAAAAGATTGGCCTTACTAGAACTATATATTTTTGTAATAAAATAAGAAATAACGATGTTTTATAAACTTTTTTAATGCGATAAAAAATGTAAACTCTTAATAATATATTCTAACAATAAATCTTTACTGTCAACTTGTCAATAATAGTCATTAAGTAATGACATACTTATTTTTTAATACTTTTTTATTCAATGGTAATGATTTTTTTAATACAGTAATATGATCTAAAGAACGGTATTATAAGGTTTCAAGCAATGTTTATGAATAATCGCTCTGTCATTAATAATTTTTTGCATTACGGCGACAATTTTCTTTTCCGCTTGGTGGAGTTTTACGTAAAAACCGGATGTAACGTGAAGACATTTACTAAATCAACCACTGCAATCTTATGCAAGGAGCCCGATGAACTTAGTTATTTAAGAATTACATCTTGCAAATTTCTTATGTAAATCCGAGCGACGATTTATCGTCCGACAGATGAAAAAGTGATACCGCTCACACACATTTATTTCTCGATGAAATAAATAATCGATACATCGCGAATATCATTTTCACGCAGTCAGCAATTTAATTAATATTAATTTGTGCATGTGAATGGTCATTATTTTTATGTGAATGATTCACAAAAAGGAATCTCTACAAAGAGTAACTGTAATTTATTGATTTTGAAAACTTATTTTTGACCTAAAAGCTTGATTTCTATATTTATTTTACAATAATGCAATACAGTAGTAGCTCAAAACTAACAGGATTTTGACATTTTTATTTTAATTTAAGTCTCACAAAAAAAACATTCACGACATAGTTTATAATTTATTTCTAAAATTGTTTTCTTATTGTGTTGTTAGATAATTCTAATCTGATCGATAAAAATTGCCGATTAATATACGTAATATACAAATGTTCTATCTTAAGAAACGAACATTACAGAAATGAGTTATTAATCAAAATAATTTATAAAACGTTGAGATTTGTAAATATCGATTTTTTTTTTTTCGAATTCTTTGACTCGTATTATTTCACGTTCGATTATATATACTCGAGATTAAAGGACTGTTAACGAAATTAAGTCGTGCGTGCGAAAACGCGTCGCTGTCGTTTAGCGAATCGTAAACCGCGGCGTGGCGTGAAATCGACGATGCTCGCGCGCAACAATAAGAGCCGGCAGAAAGAGAGCGGGGGAGGCAAAGAGAGAGAGAGAGAGAGAGAGAAAGATAGAAAGAGAGGGAGTAGGCGTCGATTCGAGGGGCGGAAACCGCAAAACCGCAAACATCCCCCGTACGGCGTATAACGGTCCAATCATATCATTACCTTTTGCGGTCCCGTCATTCTGACACCTCGTTTCTGCCCATCGTTTGTCATCGACGTTGCACTTTGTTGTTCCGCCGCGCGCACGATCGTGTTTTAAAGGAACGCGTACTTAAAGCGCGCCCTCCATTCAATCGCGGTTCGTAACATGCTCGGTGGTTTTCCTGGTGGTATCCGGTTCCAGTCTCGCGAGATTCGAGAATATGCTACGAATTTTCAAGAATCGCACTGCTAAGAATTATTTTGTATAGTGCTTTGCACCGCGCAATGTTATTTTAATCTTCTCGAAAAGAATCTTGGGCCATCTCCGAATCTCATTATAGAGATACAAAAGAGAAAATGAGAGATGAAAAGAGAGAGAGAGTCGGGAAGAGTTTTCAGTGTGTGGCTGAGCGCGCGAAAAATCTAAATTAACAATTACTGCGCGACGTTGCGTTAAATCGATTACCCGGTGGTGGACGGTCGGTAGGTACCGAATAGAGCGACGAGGGAGAGAGTCGCGGTATAGAGGCGATAGAGATATAGACAAGGAGAAAGCAGGAAAAAAAGACCGCTAGAGAGGTAACCGCGGCGGGCGATAAAGGGGTGAAGTCTCGACCGAGACTTTTTCTGCCCGGGTCGGCGCGGCGATACCTTCGGTCCGGTTCGGTTCGGTTCAGCAGGAGCAGTTCAGCTCTCGGTTAGGCGCAGGAGAGTACGTTGCTCGCGGCGGCCACGTCAATTTGTCGAAATTCGTTCCGAATCGTTTTATGTCCGCCACGCCGCGAGACGCGACCCGCTACCATGCGCACACAACGCGGCTACCACTCTCGTCTCTCTCTCTTCTCTTCTCTCGTCGAACCTCTCTCTGGAGAGAGACCCCTCTAAGGTTTCATCGCCGTCTTTGAAATTGTATAACCCCATGGGACGAGACGACGAGCCGGAGCCGCGAGCTAAAAATCCGTGTCAATGGTCACTTTTAACTGGCGTCGTCAAACATTCTGTCTACTTACAGAGAGATGTAGCGCCTTACTTTTATATTTTGTGTCATTTATTTTTCAAGTTCCGTGTTATTGGATTTGTAAAAATGCGTTGTTAAAAACATCTTTTTTAGGGTTTATATTTGAGATTCTGTTGCATTTTTTAATTAATTGTTGTTAAAATGATATATGTATTTTTGACGAGAATATTTGTAATTGCTGCGATATTTTGAATTATCAGTTTGTAGTAAAGACTATTTCTGCAGCGCCTATTTGAAATGAACGTACATACAAATTAAATACATTGTTCTGTGTGGGAAATTTGCTTTGCATATTATATTTAGATTATATGCGTATATTTTTTATCATCTCTTGTTCACCTGCGTCTTTAAAAGGACAATTTACATACGACTAATCATTTAACAAATTCCAAACGTAAAAAATGTTAATGATACGAACGCAAATTAGGAGTTGATGTAGGCTTCGCTTAACTTCAAAATGTCATTTGCAATGGTGAATACCTACATCATTTGCACGTTGTTCTAAGGTTAAATTTTATGTAAGTAGTTCTCAATATAGAACGTAAATATTAATACAGATTGCAAAGTGAAAAATGACGAAAACGTGTCGTACGCATTATTATACAACACAGTATAATTGCATATTATACGGACGCATAAATAATTATTTCTAGAACGCGCGGTACGGAATTGCGCCAGCTTTAAACTTCGATATTAAGACCTTGTTTGCAACACGGTGTTGCACCGGCACCAGCCTAATCTTATCTTATCCTCCTAATGCCGCGTTGCCGTAAGCACACTTTGTGTGTAACACGCGCTTTTGTACAGAAGAATATTACGCATGTGTAATATCGAGAAACGATGATTTTTTCATTTTTTCTTCTCTTCTCTTCTCGAAATGATCCTGAAAATCCTCAATAAATAACGTTTTGTTTTTCACAGTAAATTAACCGGTACAGTTAATCAGACTGGTTTTAATTATGTACAACCATTTATGGGTGCATATTCGTTTGGTATTTTTTAATTTTTTATTTATAGAACAGTGCATTTTAAATTAATTTTACTTGAATAACTCGCGTATTGATTAACAATAGACAGCCAGACTTTGAACCATGTCTCGATCTGTTACGATCGATGCGAGCTATGGCGAGACTAAAATAGCAAAAAGTAAGAGCGCTTTCATTATTTAGCACAAATCCACCCATCGAATTTGCAATTTTCCAACGAACACGCATGTTATTTTCCTCTGGTCGTTATTCACACGGGACGACACATTCCGTATTATCGATTGTTCTCCGTCATTATTCAATTTATCCGTATATGTACTGCGCGTGTCGATGAACGCGAATAAATCAGGAATTGAATAATGAAGAGAGAAAAAAATGGTTTGCGCAAGCTAAAAATTTCAAACTATTACTAATAAATTATTACTGAAAAGTAATGAATAAAATCATTTATGCAATGTAAATGGGATATGAACTAATACATGCGGAAGTAAAATTCAGTAAATGTTCTCGACGTTGGTAACACGCTTTTATTTCTTGCGCGTAACAAGGATGAAAGGAGTGAATTCTAGTTCGCACGAGAAGGGGTCGGAGTCATTTTTCCACGCGGTGGAGGCAGGAGTGGTCCGCTGCTTTTCGGTTAAGCGCTTCACGCCGGATTTCGCTTCTTTTGCCACCACGGTTGTCCGAGTTAATTGCGTCCTCGTAGCGCTAACAGGCGGCCCACCTCGTCGGTCACGCGCGGATAAGAGAAAAACGCTACGCGGATAAGAGAAAAACGCGTGGCCAAGCGGAGGACGAGAACTTTGTGTCGATCCGGATCGCGTTTTCACACGAGCCACGCTTCGACGATTCGAGAAACGCTATTTACGAGCATCCGGTACACGGGTATTCGGAACACTCTCGCGAGGATAGGATAAGGGAAGGTGAGAAGGAGGAAAGTGGACCTTTTTGGCGCGAGAATCAGGCCCCATTACCAGCGTGCCAGTGCTATCGTTTTTAAAACCTTTTGTCGTCACGAAGAAGTCCATTAGTATCTTTTTACGATATACACACATACCTACGCCTCACTAATTTACGATAAAATTACGATCGATTTATTGCTCGGCGGAGAACGCCGAGTTCGTCTCATCGCTCGTGATTTTCGCGCCTCCTTTCGCAACCTAAGGGTTACGTAATATCGCGGGCATCGGATGATAATTTATCGTCTCTTCGCAGAAACGAATCGGGACCCGGCGGCCAGAAAGCTCGAACGACCGCGCGGCGGCATTAATTAGCATGCCTGTCGAGATCGGCGCTTGATTCGCGAAACGGCGCGTGCATATGCTCCAGTTTGCGCGCTCCGTTAGCATAATATATCTGTCGTAATATCGCGCGCTCGCTCCTGCTAGATATGTCTTGCTATATGTCTTTTTAAACGCACTTTCTCGCTTCTTCTTTCAGACATCCCCTGTTCCCGCTCCTTGCACTCATATTCGAAAAGTGTGAGCTGGCAACGTGTACGCCGCGTGAGCCTGGTGTAGCGGGTGGCGACGTCTGTTCGTCAGAGAGCTTCAACGAGGACATTGCCGTTTTCTCAAAACAGGTGAGTTTACCATACATTACAGAATATCAAATTCGTCGTCTTATTGTTTAGGTATATGTATATGCTCTGTGCCGTATCGGAGAGTCTTGCCTTATCGATTGTATTTATATCGTGTGTTGTGCAATACGTATATAGTTCAATCTATAAATATATAGAATATCTTCTTTTGATGTTCAAAGTGTTACTTCTAAAGAATGATAATTTATACATACGAATCGCATTTAACGGTCGAGACGATATTAACTTTGGACTGACACACTTGTGGCACACAAAAGTGAAAGGATTTTCGAAAGAGTTATAAATAACGCGAGACGCGCACTCCTGACGTTTGCCTCGATGGTCCTCGCTAAAAAGTTGCGGTTTCGTTGGGCGAACTTCTCCGCGTGATCCTTTTCTAAAGAATGTCCCATGGCGATTTTTGGGTGTTGTATGAGTCACGAGGAACGCGCGTATAATCCTGAAACAGTAGATCCACGCACGAGAACAGGCTGGCGTGTTTTAGGCCTCGAAGAAGAAGAACCCTGCCCTCTATCCATGCGACTTATTTTTAGGATTACCGTTGAGAAGAGAGAGAGAGAGAGAGAGAGAGAGAGAGAGAGAGAGAGAGAGAGAGAGAGAAAGATGAGATTTCGAGACCCCGAATATATAGCGGACTCGAGACAGAAGACTCGCTCGCTCGCTCGCGCGTGTGAGCGCGTTTTTTTCTCTATTCCCTTCTTCCTATTTTTTTTCTTTCCCTCTAGCGGCTCACCTGAGGCAGGTCCCCCCAAGGACACGCGTAGGTAACCCGAGATCCTATGGGGCCGCATGTCGTGAAACGATTTGGACCTTTTAAAACATACCATTTCGCCGTCTGCGTCCCAGGTCGTGCACGTAGGTCTGCTCGAAGGTCTCGGGAAGTGTACCTCGAACGTTCGTTTCCGCGTGCTTTCTAGAGACGGTTTGGTTGACACGAACATTTGCATCGATAACGTGATACTTCGGAAGTGATATCCTCAAACTAGGACGTCTAATATATTGTTTCGCGGTTGTAAAAGGATACATATAATATACATATTCCATATTTCAAGGTGTTATATTTTCTCACTGCTATTTTTATGCCATCAAACGACATTCATCTTTAAATGGAAGTATATATACTTTCAGAAACTTTCCCAAATTCATTTTCTGATCTAATTAACTTGGCTAAATATAGTAATGCGGATATTTAATCTCGCGCGTTTATGTGGTAAATTGTTTTGGTAAAGGATACCGCATTTATATATAAATGGGAGTAAATTGAGAATTAAAAATTGAATTGAGTGAGAATGAGAGATTTATTCATTTCTCTCTGTTATTTTTCACGTAATTTTCTAGAAATATAGCTACATTCTTGACAATGTATTAAGCGGAGGCGACAGAATGGGTAATAAAAATGTTATCGTGTTCGTTTGCTTATAGTGAACTGATGCAAACGAATTTAGCACATTTAGATTGAGAGGTATAAGCACCAGTTGCTGTGCACCGTTAGATAGCTATAATTTCTAACAATTATTTTCATATAGCATTATCATACAGCGCGTTTTCTTTTTTTTTATTCGTATCGATTATAGAGAAATTTTGTCACATGTTAATTGAAATTTTTACTAATTCGAGGCAATAGATAACACCTTCAACAAGGAATATGTACAATAGAATATAATAATAGCTTTGCGAATGCGAAATTTTTCGCGAACTCCTTACGTCATACGATCGCGCATTTGTGCGTCATTTTATTGCCGCAGAAAAAAAATTTGTCTTACGTCTAAATATAGGGCGTCGGTAACACAGTAGCGGTGGCTTTGAGCAATGCTATGTCGAGATAACGATAAGAATTAAGCTCCGGCGCGAGGTAGGATAAGGTGGCCCGTGTGTGTATACATATTGTTTCGTCGTGTTGATGCCGAAAAGTTCCAGACGATAAAAAAATCGTTCCAAGTTTCCGGCGTATCGGGATTCCTGAGATAATCGAGCGTATTGCTTTCTTTCAACGCGATATACGATATAATTTTTTTTGTAAGTAGGATGAATATAGCATCGTGTTTCTATACGTTATTATTTATCTCATTATGAACGTTATTAGTTTACATTTACGGTGGGAGACCGTCGAAGATTCTGTCGGCGTTGCAAAACTAGCGCGTTATGATATTTGCATCTTAATAAGGCGCACCATAAGGCACATTTCAAAACGCGCGCATGAAAAATAATGCTTATGACTACGGGTTTATATTCCGCGACGACGCTGCCTTTTACTCGGATATTTCCTTCTTAGCTGTATATATTCTAATCGTAAGTCATAATTAAATCCATTTAATATCAAGGTAAAAATTGATGATTGCAACTAATTTTCTTTTTTTGCATCTTATATATTTTTCTAGTTTTCATAAATTGGTAAAAAAAAATAAATAATGAGGAGATACTATATTAAAAAAATTACTACAATTTATTATTATATTTTTATCTATATAAAATCTTTGTTACATTTTTTAACTCTTGATTTTTTATTATCTCAATCAGATATTTTTACATTCTTTTAAAGGATTAATTTTGATGCCTATCAAAGTAATTTGTTGTTTTAATTTAATATTATCAATGTTTAAAGCATCTTCTAAAGATTTAATCTACGAATTGATTATATTTGCTTCCTCCATAATATTAAGTTAAAAATTTAGACAAAAATATAATTAACTTTTATCAATTAAATTTTGTATCGATTTTTAAAATTTTCAACCATTCTGTGTAAAATTTGCTTCATTGATTTATCGTATTGTTTTGTCAAATTTTTCATATTTTGTTCGTACAAAATGTTATTTGCAAAATGTTACTATCACTGATTATATTGTTGGTTTTACGGTAGCTCTTGCTCGGTCTCATATTTCAACTTACATATAGCTATACACATTTGATCTCTTCTCAATCCCTCCCCTTCGCACATACATTCAAATGCCAATAAAATTGCGTATCTGAAATTCGCGACTAGCAATGACTGCATCACAGAAGGTCGTTCGCGATCACCGTCGTATTCACATTAATACCAAGATTACGACCACGTATCGGAGTAGATAAACAAATTACGTTCGGCGGGATAAGTCTTTGTCAAGAATCATCTCTCGAATACCTGTAGCATTCACGGATGAATTTTTTCCTCGTGCACTATCGTGATTCGTGCGATCACATTAATTCGAAGGGTCGAAATTAATTATCGAACTAATCCAGCGTAGTATTCTTTTTTTATTATATGCTTAGCTCTATTGTAGAAAAATATTTTCTAGAAATATCAAATATTTCGAGTACAAAGATTAACTTCTTTTACGTTAGAATGCAATTTATTTTTATTATTTGTACGTATTTATTCTATATATATATATATATATTAACACTTTTGGAAGCATCGATAATATAATTAAAAGCAGTCATTGCTTTTGAAGGCTGTCACTAGGCACGTAAGTCTCTCACACGCGGCGCTACGACGATGCACATCGGCAGATAAGCAGGTGACAATCCTCTTGCGGCGGTTTTTGAGGCGTGCCGTGCGAGTCGTGCCCTCTCTCCCTCGTGTGTCGGTACCGCCGCGGCGATAGGGCCGTATGACAAAAGGGCCGCGCGCGGGATTATTTCGCGTTTTGTTGCGTGCTGTGCGTGCAAGCGTGCATACGCGCATGCGCCGTAGTCGTCGTGAGATGCGACGCATGCGCGATCCACAGTCGGGGCCCGACTATGACGGTCGGCGAGTCGTGAGAAGCGCTCAAGCGTAGAGAGTTGAGCCGGCGCGATGGTAATGGAAGAGACGAGAAGGATATGAGATGCGAGAAAGAGAGAGAGAGGGAGGGGGGCAGGCTGCTCATTTTCTGCCATTGTAAATTGATCTATTCAAGTGGGTCCACTATTATCCCCCCCTGTGGTCCATGCATCGTGTGCCCTTATGGGGGCCACGATATTCCTCCAGTCTTCCGTCTCCAACGCCCCTTCTGCCCTTCTGTATGCACTCTCTCTTTCTCTCTTCTCCCCCCGAGACCCCTCGCCTCTTTCTCTCCCTCGGTTCGCGCTCGTTGCCTTCGACGTTGCCTGGCTGCAACGTGCCATCGGTCGTACCCCGCTGCGCCACGTTGCGCCGTGCCTTTGTTGCGCCCTTTTTTTCACCCGCCAAAAGAGGCATCCCGCTCTTTTTTTCGCGATCATCGCCGACGACCGCGTCGAAAAATTTCGCTCGCGCTTCGTCGCCTCTCGCGGCTGCGCACCATCTCTGTAAATCCGGTCACTCAAATGAGCGATCGACATTGGATTACAAAGAAGGGTGAAAACTTTCCGATTCATATGTGAGAAAAGATTATTATTAACGATTAATTCGACCGGATCTTGTTGAAAATTGATCGGCATTATTTAACGGAGATTTTACGCAAGACAATCGTTTTATATATGATATATCTTAAACAATGCAATTTATTATGCCAAATTATCTCTCTCACGAGTTTAATGATTTAATATGTACGTCGTAAAATACGAGTGCGATATATTGCTGTTATTATCCACGGAACATTTTTTCCGATGGTGTTATTGCGTCTTGTACAATGAGTCGAAACTGAATTGGGAGATGTGGGCGTGCATGTGTTCGTCACGATGTCGCGATTTCGGTCACGCTTATACAGATACACGAAAAGAGAGAGAGAGAGAGAGAACCCGAGAAGGAAGATCCTATCGGAGATTTATTGGTACAATTAGGATGCACCTCTTGAAGCATTAAACTCTCATAAAATGCCTAATGGCGACCGCTAGTAAACGTATCCTATTCGAATGTGAACTATCGGTTCTTTCGCCTCTTTCGACGTTCGTTCACCTTCTTCCTGTCCAACCCCACAAGTCAAAAATCTAATTATACAAAAATGCTATAAATATATGATATTTATAAAATTTTTTACATTAGAAAGAAACTTTACGCGCGTGCGCGCATAGTCATAAATATAAATAAGAAATATAAACGTTAATTATATCCGATATTATTTCTGCAGCGAATATTTTTCTCGTTCCATTTTCAAAGTACCTAAGTATACAAAACGTTGAAAAAAGTAGAACATTTTTCTGCAATTAAATTGATCGAAGCATATAATTCCGTGTCCTCCGAGCAGCTCAACGAGCCGTTACGAGAACCGGTGCACTATCGAAGTGTCTCGGTTTTAACAGAGATTCGAGGCCAATTAACGAAACGAAACCCACGTAGAAAATGCCGCGTAAGGCTCGATGCGAATACATCGTGCTCGGACCGGTTTTCCATATCCTGACGTCATTATATGTAAGATGGCATCGGCGAATTAAGCTATGGCCATAGTAATCAATGATTAATCATGCTATAGTAGAAAATGACATAATAGAATTCAAGTATACATATATTAGAGAAGGGGGAAACTCAGATCTTATTAAAATACGATAATTAAAAATATGTCCATCGAAATTTTTAATTAACAATCTGATAACGATTGTTAAAATATTTGTAATAAAAAAAAACTTATGTATATACTGAAAAAAACCATGTACTTTTACATGGAAATTACTAGTTCAGAACTGGAAAAGTTACTTGCTTATCACTGTAATTTCTTTTTCCATTTGTTTTAAAGTAAAAATACATATTAATGTAAAAATACATGTAAAATATAGGTAAAATTACTATTTTTATGCAAAAATCATATATGTAATTTTAAATTTACTATTTTTATTTTATTAAAATTTTATTTTATAAGTATTTATCTATTTTCTTTATAACATTATTTTATAGCATTTATACATTCCTAACATTTTCTATGTGTAATTACATGTTCAGTGAAATATTTTTAATCTTGAAAATATGTAAGAATATATTTCATATAAAATTACATACAATCTGTAATCTTTCATGTAAGTATCAATATTGCATGATTATACTGGGTCGGAAAAAAACCTAGCTTAATCATGTTATTTTACATAAATATTTTTTTCAGTGTATTTTTACATATGTACAACATTATATATTTTTTTTTTTGAGAATTCTGTCTCGAGTGTAGAAAAATTGAAACGTCTCATTGACATTCGCCACATTGACCCGTAAGTTTAGCTTTTATTTCGGATTCCGAAACATTCTCCCTAAATGGGTTTCAGATTCTCCAGATTCTCAGTTTTAATTGTTTCGACACCAAACGTGCATGCACGGTTAATTCGACGGTTGTTACGAGCCGCGTAACTATATCGCCGGCGGTCTTATTGCTACAATTTCGCAATTATCGCGTTCTAGCGTAAATACCTGCCCGTTTTGATGTGTGTGCTACCACGCGATAGTGATCACGCGGTATCACGCGCTTTATCAGTCCTCTTCCTCTTTCTCGCGGCTTGGCTCATATTATTGGAAAAACACGCGATCACTCGTAGGAAGTGTAGAAACATTCAATGGCTTCGATTAATCTAGATATCAAATTAAATGGTATCGAGTATTCGCATAGTTGTCACGTCAATTAGATATAAATCGAAATTATATAGATGTTGATATACTTTATACAGATGAGATGAATAATATTCCAGAGAAATTAATTAAAATCAAATGTTATATTAGTTTCTCAGAGACACTCACATCAATACTATTCTTATTTTCAAAGAGAATATTTGAGATATTTGTTATATGATTAAAGCATGTAACAAAAAATTTCTCCAGAAAAACTTCAATTTTTTGTAGACAGTTTTTGAGTGAAAGTTTAAAGGCAAAGAATTGATTGGCCATTGTTAAAACTTTTCTAGCTGTATTGTTCTGTAACAAAAAATTACTATTATATTCTCCGACATGCTTTTACCAGGATGTCATGTCAATGGTAACAGTAAAACATTGTTCGTCTTTGAGAAGATATATACGAAATGATTGTAGGAAAAATGACTTACGACAAGCGTGACGAAAAATATTTTATCTGCATAGTATTGTAATTTGTCAGGTTAAGGAAATTGAACATTCTCTATGGTCATATATTTAACGTAACAAAAAATACGGGATTACAAAAAAGTCTAGGGATTGTAACAAAAAGTCTAAAAAATTTTGAAATTAAGAAAAAAACTGTTTATTTTTTATTTTATTTCTTTTTATCTTAAAGATCTACATAACTATGAATTGACACTGCATTCTTACATAATAACATAATTGAAAAGTTACATTGTGTCATATATTTATTTCTTGTTATTACTATTTCTATAATTACAAAAGAATGCGATAGTATAAAATTGAAATATTGAGAATTATTAACTAGAATTGATTCTTTTTTAAGTATATTTTATCGATTCTAAAGGTATTCTTTAAAATTTATAGGCGTCACGCATAATTCATAAAATAATAAAGAATATATGTTAAAAATGAAATAAGAAAAATTGGAAAATGTTTCACATATACATATGTATGTATATATATCACGTGTAGAGAAACGTATAGTATATTCCGGTCTGCATAGAGTTCTCCAATCGGAAAGGGAAGGGTTTACAAAACGAAGGGTTCGAGGGGGCGGCAGCAATAGCAGAGGCAAGAGAGAACCAGCAACAGCAGCAGCAGCAGCCTCCTCTAAAGCAGCTGCTTCGTATATCTCTCGGCAAGATCGGCGCACACCGGGAAAATCTTAACACACGATACGTGTGCGTACGTATTTTCCCTCCATGTGGACCCTCGTACATGCATACGAGATCGTGCCGAACAGGCACCCCGCTTACCGGAACGAGAGCATTCTCTAAATATTATCGCACAATATTTTTACCGCCTCCGCGCTGAGTTATGCGCACCCGACAGCCAGCGAATGCTGACGTTTCTATACGCATCTATCGATGTTTATTTTCTCATCCGAACATTCTCGACCGCACGAACGCTCGATTTCCTTCGTCATTCGCGTTTCGTACGATGATAACCATTTTTTTTATAGACTTTTACTTTGCGCTGTCGCTGCTTCAATATTCCTACTCGCAAAAAAATCATTCCTCGTATTCCCTGTGTAAATACATTTTTTCTTACAAATTAGATGAAGCGTATCGCGCAATCACCGTTAAGTTAAACGCTGCCTAACTTTGCCAATTTTCTCGTTTCCCATTATTCTCTTTCGGACGTGATGAGTCTTTTTATTCCACAGACTGCTGCCAAGCTTTTTACGAATGCGTCAGCACGTGTCGGCGTATGAACGACTGCACCGTTTCGGGAAAAACGGTGTGCAAAGAATCATAAGCAGCGCGGAGCAAGAGAGAAAAAGACAGAGAGAGAGAGAGAAAGGCGACTGGGCACAGAAAACAGAATGGGCTGTTTACAATTTGTAATCTTGCCTACCTGCGTGGCGCTTAGCTCGTTGCTCGGGAACCGTCGAAAAAGTGCGATGACAGGACCGCGCAAGAACTAGTCCTCTCTCCCCTTACCTACCTCTCCTCTACGAACAGTTGACAGTATTTTTGTCGTACGAGACGCCTTCATTACCTATACACTCTGGAACACAGGAGAGCTCGAGGACTCTCCCATTCAGAATTCCGGCTCATGAATACGCGCTCTTGCCTGGGAATTCGTGCGTGCGGACAATATTTCATTATCCGATTTTTTTCTTTCGTAGAGAATAGTGACGCTCCTGACTGTATCTCATGGCTTCTTGACTCTTTGGATATTCGATATTGTAAAAGAGAAGTTATTCTTCTCGGAAATTCTTAGGAAAACTTTTATCGTGCTTTTGAGACTTAACATATTTATTCACGTGCGTGTAATAAATAATGACATTTATAATAATTTCAAGAATTTTGCATTTACCTAATATTTCGTGAAGTGAAAAATGAAACTAGCAAATATATACATTTGCATTTTAATCGATTTTGACGTTAGTCTACACTCATTCTTTCTCAGTAGCAAAAATAATTGGCCCCATAGAGAGTTAACGATATCCCGAAGACTAATCTGATCCGATGTCGCGGATACCACGAGACTGAAATAGCACTGCAAACGAGATTTGTCGTGCAGTCCTTTCTTCCTCTCTTTTTCTCTCGTCGAAAAGTTTGAACGCCAATTTGGAAGTAAATTTGTTTCCATTCTGATTGCGGTGCAAATGTCTGAGAATCTCTTCCCATCGCTGTCTGCCTTCTCGATTTGCCGCCAGGATTCCATCGTTCCTTGACGCGTTTCCGTTTCTGTATGTATACGAATTGAACAGTGGGGGTCCAATTAAGAGGAAGCACGCGAAGGAAATCGCTTAAAGAAAGAAGCGAGAAGAGACGAGAAAGAGGGAAGGGAGAGATGGAGATTTGGCTGTACTCATGTGTATCCCTATACATATATGTATGTAGACCGCGATACGATCGTCTATGTAGCTTTTAATACCGCAATTACGTTGGATCCAATTATTAACGCTCTTATACGTATGTCTGTGTGTTACAGATCAGACAAGAGAAGCCGTATTACATTGCGGACCCGGAGGTGGACTCGCTGGTGAGTATTTCCTTATTTATACGTCTCTCTATGTGTGCAAATTAAATATCTCCCGATATATCGCTTATCCGTGGCTTGTAATTTTGCTCAACACGTTTATAATCATTCAATTTCCTTTGGAGATCGCGCGCGTTACAATTCACACAACACGCGAGAATCGCGAAACGTTCGCTTGTGTCGAGACATCAAGGGTTAATTACGGGATTAATTAAACCGCGAGATGAGAGAGAGAGAGAGAAGGCCTTCGAACGAGCGGGACTTGGAGACCGCGTTATCCGATTTAGCGGCGTGTAAATAGCGAGAAGTCTCGTGGTTGCGTTACGTTACGTTTTCCCTGCCGGCTCCGGCGCGCGTCTAATCGCCCAATTTAATCGGTGAGGTGATCGCCCGTCGAGATACCCAAATACGGTCGGTCGGCCGACTTCAACGACAAAATAACGATCCAGGAAGTAAGGCAACAACGCACGAGTCAGCGCCAGTGTGTTCTATACACTTTTTTTTTCTTTCTTTTTTTCTCTCTCGCGGTGTGTGGAATAATTAACGGAATAAAGCGTTATCGTTGCGCGCTTCCATCCGTCGTTATTGCCGTCAAAACACGGATTCCGAGTTTCACAAGGGCGGATACATTCATTATGAGATATCTGGATGATAAAGCGTCGTGTCTACCTGACCAAAACAAATGTTGCCATGTTGCATTCCTCTGTGCACATCCTAAACATAATTGAAACTATACGTACAATCGCTCTAAATCTCATTCAAATTTTTATTAACCAGATAAATACATAAATTGTGTAATTTAGTCATTTATTATTACGAATAAATATGTATGAAACGCAATAGACGAAATTTCGATCTGCTGGATAAGAATATATTACCGGAAGGTTGATGACGTAATTTTCAGGCGTAATTACAATCTGGTAATTAAAGATCCGCGAAGTAACATGCGACAATATTGTACGGTATTGTTTTTCGAGCGGATGCCGATTTTGCTCGAACTTTCAGTCGGATCGTCGAAAAGACGTGGAGGAAGAAATATTTTAGGCGACCCTCCACACGCGCTCTTCGATCGAGATAACGGGGTGTAGTGGGCTTTTTAAATAACTCCGAGTGTGTATTTTTCGTCGGTGAGAATGCGTACACGCGGCCTTACGGACGATGGTTAGGGCAACTTAGGATCGAACCGCCATTATGAATTCCTCGAGGAGTCATTGCCATTTCTGACGTAGTTCTCCTTCGACTCATTGTGTTCTGCAAGGTTTTTCACAAGGACCGTATGAAATCGCTTTATGAGCTATTTTTAGCAGGTTTTTTTTAGAGACTATTAATCATCACGTACGCGCAGAATTTAAATATTGAAATATTTAATGTAAATTTAAATATTTTTAAAAATTATTTTAAAAATTATATTTAAAAAATTATTAAAAAAGATTGTTTCTCAGTATTGACGTCAGCATAAATAAAAATAGTTTAATATGTTTAAAATATATACTGAAATATTAATGTGTGCATGTATGTACAATACTTAAATCACATATAATTTAGTGTTAATAAGAATTTGATTGAAAGTTTGTTTTTATCACTATTTAAATAACGTTACTGTTTGCTATATATATATGAAGAGAACAATTTTACGATTGCAATATTTTTCATATAAAAATTATTTGAGCTTATTATTTTATTCAAATATTTATCATTTTATTTAAATCAGTATGTAGACAACAGATTTAAATTTATTAAATTGTAAAAAATTATTTTCTTGTCGCAATATGTGTCAACTTTTCAGATTTGTTAATCAATAATGTTTGACAAGAGTATTTTCGATAAATATATATCGTATATATTGTCATACATAAAGTTATTTTTTCGTGAAGACGATTTTTATTTAAAAATATACGAAAACTACATTTTTTAAAATCAGCATATTGAGTTAACGTCAAATTGCTGTTGCGCTTGTTTTGACTTTTTGCATGGAAGAAGAGAGAGACAGAGAGAATAGTAGCGAGAGGAATGCATTTCGCCGGCGCTGTTCTCGCGCTGTTGCCCACAATTTTTCGAAACGTCACGTCCGTTACCTGCGGCTTGTCACGACTGTAAATATTCACGCAAGGTGGTAACTTGTATCTCCCATCACCATTGTCACAACTGTCTTTTTCTCTCTCTCTCTTTCTCTCTCCCTCGACCGATCTTATTTAAAAATAGAATTATAAAGATAAAATTTTGGGAACAAGAGAAAACATGGTTTTATTACGGTGATATTTTATTATAATTAATATATAATTATTATGTATATTTTTATTGTCTTCTAAAATCAAAACAAAATTATTTTTATTATTTTACTAGCTTTTTCGATCGAATAAATACTTATAAATCACGTGAAACTATAATAAATCACATCGATCATTTATGTCTTGAGTTTTGCGTCATCGAAAGTATCATCGACGTTTCTCTGCGTTCGTTGTCTCTCTACGAATAACTATCCCCAACGCGCATTCGTAAAAAGTCGCCTCTGGCAGGTGTTACGGGTAGTAAATCGAGGAAGTTAAATGGACTGGGCGGATAAAAATTTTCGTATCGTCTGTCACTTATATACTAGCATATACTACTATGGCAGGTCGGCTAGAAGGAGGCAGTTCCTCGGGGCTGTGCATTCGTCGTTGCATTCACCGTTGCACAGTTGCTCACCGATAGTTGCCGGTAGGAAGGCCGGCGGAAGGTGGCGTGGCTTTATTACGTCCGTGGCAAATCGCAATCTACGAGCAATGAGCTTCTATCGTAAAGAAGAGGCACGTAACGTTCGCGCTTTTTGCTTCGTCCATCTCGCGCGTTCGCCCTTACTCTCTTCTTCCGCCGCCCTCCCGGTGTTTCTTTCGAATCTCTGTTCTCTTCCTCTTCGACAGAGAGCCTCGGGTTCCTTCTTTTCTTCTGCTAGTCCTTCGACCGTCTTTCTTCTATCGCGTTCTCCATCTCTTCGAATGGAAGAAGAGGCTGTTCCTCTCTCCTGCAATCCCCGCGGACGCTAATCGAGCGGAGCTTTTTGCCGATAATTTCGCAGAACGGAAAAGTCACCGAGTCAGATTGCTTTTCAAGTTGAACGCGGCGAGATTCTATCGCTTTCCTCGCCGGTTGTTAGCGGTCGGTAGCGCGACGAAGAGACCGACCGGTTTTTCTTACGTACAATTGTTCGAGTATGAAAAGACGCGAAATGCAGCAAAATCAATTCGACAAACAGAAAAAGTCAGAATAGAATCGGTGCATCGATCGATTATCACTGATTGACAAATGTGACAAAATAAAGATCTGCAAAGATGATTACAAAAAACGATTAATCAAATGACACAAAAGAAGCGATGATGGAATTTACAATTTCAACTAGAATGCTGACAAATTTTTCAATTTTTCATGGGTTTCCGAGGTTTCGGTATATTTCACGGTATAAACGTGTATAAACATAATAGAATGCGTTCGTTGAAAATTATTATTTTTAAAGACTGATTATCACGCGAGAGTTTCTTAGAGCGGTTCCAGACGTGGCGATACAGCTCTCAGACGGTTCTGCGCGCATTCCGGTAAATCGCGGGGAGTTTCCTGATGGAGCTAAACGGGGAAATCGCGCGAGGAGACACCACGTGGGCGGACAGAACGGCGTCTCTCGGCTTCTTCTGGTGCGCCGCGTCGCGTCGTAAACGGAACGGGAGAAAAGAAAGTCGCGGCGAGACGTCGTCTTTCGCGCGGCGGAAGGCGGCAAAGCGAGCAACGCGAGGCGACGGGCCGCTAAACTCCGCGAGAGGAAGCCGACAGAGAGAGAAACGAATGAGAGAAAGAGGCGGAGGTAAAGGAGGATTAACCTTCCTCTCTCTCTTTCTCGTATACGCGCTTAAATAATATTCCCATTAGCATAAGCGAGAAATGAGCCAATGAGATGCTAATTGCTGGGTCTTGCGTTTGGAGAATAATTATTATTGCGAGAGGGCATTCTACTCTCCGGCCGGACGTTGGACTTGCCTTCGTGATTTACTTGTGGCGCGGCACGGCCGGAATGCGCGGCAAGAAACGAGAGAGCTCGCTTATTAACTTTTCGAGTATTAATTATGATATGTATAATATTGTGGTATGTATCAAATATTTTTTTGCATTCGGAAATTAAATTCTTGCGCAACCTAGGTGTCTTGTTTTGGCAAAGATTTCATTTCGCAATCTTTCGCGGAAAGTCCGCGGCGATGTCGAATCTGTTCTGGATAACAGATACGATTCCGATATCGAAGCGAAATATTTCCTTATCGCGAGATTAATTTCGGGCTATACTACGTCGATATACTGCGCGTTGTAGATGTCAAAATGTATTCTCTGTTTTTTTTTTTCTAAAATTGCCCGCAATGTAAATCATTGGTTGAAGCGCCGCTGTGTTCGGCGGGCACGATAAAATACGCGACGTTTTTACATATTGCGTCAAATTTATTTTACATTTATTTGCATCAAAAATATTTTTTTTATTTTTGGTCATGTTTAGAGAAATTTTTAAATCGCTACGCATACATTTTACATGAATTCCGTCGTATATATTTCAAAGTCCGAAACATTCTGTGATAAAAAATTCAGGTGACTCATTAATCAATAAACTCTCCGGATCTCTCGACAGATCAGAGGCGTATAAATGGTGTACAAATAATTTTTTATGGAACTTCATTTTACGTTATTGCATAAAATTGATGTAGGATTCATCCAGCGTATATTTTTGTATGCCACTCAAAGGATTTCGTACAATTACACGTGTTATCTTGAATGAAATCGATGATGTAGTCGAGAGAAAAAATATATGTATAGTGAGAAGAGATGTATCAGGGATCGACGAATGAAACTGTTCACGTTCTTCTCGTTGGATGCGTGTCGTTGTCCCTTCAGCACGCGATTAGCGCGCGTTTCCAAGATCTGGTCGCCGCAGGCAATATTATCGCTGATTATTGCAATTTCGCTGCAACCTCCGTTTTGACTGTCGATCGCTA